AAGACAGACTAGGAAGAAGGACCTGGCAGTCTACTTCTGAAAAATTGGCCAGTGAATCCTTGTGAATAGCAGTGTAACAGTCTCTGGTATATTGCCAGAAGATGAGCCACTCAGATTGAAAGACACAAAAATACAACTGGGGAAGAGCTGCACCTTCAAAGTAGAGTCAGCCTTAATGATGTGGATGGGTCAAGCTTTTGGGACCTTCATTTGCTGATGTGACATGACTGAAAATGAGAAGAAACAGCTGCAGACATCCATTAATAATCAGAATGTGTAATGTATGAAGTATGAATCTAGGAAAATAGGAAATATAAGAACTGAAACCATAAAACTCTTAGAACAAAGCATGGGGTAATGCTTTGGGAACCTAGTTTTCAAAAATGGATTCTTAGATATGACACCAAAAGCAAAAGCAATAAAAGACAAAATAGATAAATTGAACTTCATCAAAATTAAAAATTTCTGTGTGTTAAAGGAGTTTATCAACAAAATGAAGAAACAACCTACAGAACGGGAAAAATATTTGGGAACCGTATATCTAATAAGGGTTTAATATCCAGAATAGATAAAGAACTTTTACAACTCAACAACAAAAAGTTAAACAACCGAATCAATAATAGGCAATGGGCTTGATTAGATATTTCACCAAAGAGGATATATAAAAGGTTAATAAGTACATTGTTTTAGGCTGGGTTCTCTAAACAAGCAAAACCAGTGAAGCATATACAGAGAGAGAGATCTGTATCTCAAGGAAATGGCTCAGATGATTGTGGAGGCTGGCAAGTCCCAAGTCCGTGGGTCAGATGTGAGGCTGAAGGCTTCTCTGACTCATGTAGCTGCAGGGGCTAACAAACCTATTATCAGCAGTCAGATGGCAGGCTGCTGGCTCAAGTCCCAAGAACCAGAGGTCATATGATGACAAGCCAAATGCAGGATCCAGTGCAAGTAAGCAAGCTTTGTTAGAATATCCACGTATATTGGATACAGGCTACACCCCCGAGGAAACTCCCCTTACAACTGATTGGCTGATCACATCAGAGCACATCGTGGAGGATGACTACATCATTACATAACGGCCACGTTACATTATTACGTAACTGCTAAACTACATCATTACATAACTGCCAAACTACTGAGAATCATGGCCCAGCCGAGTTGACACACAACCTTAACCATCTCACACATGAAAAGATGTTCAATGTCATTAGTCATTAGAGAAATGCAAATCAAAACCACAGTGAGATACCACTTCACCCTCCACTAGGATGCCTATTATAAGAAAAACACAACAAGCATTGGCAAGGTCATGGGGAAATTGGAACCCTCATTCACTACTGATGAGATGATGAAATGGTACATCTGCTGGTCCTCAAAAAGTTAAACACAGATTACTGTATGACTCAGCAATTCCACTCCTACCTATAATACCCAAAAGACTTGAAAGCAGGGACTCAAATAAATACTTGTATGCCAGTGTTCATTACAGCATATTCACAATAGCTAAAAAGTGGAAATAACCCAAGTGTCTATCAACAGATGGATAAATAAAATGTGGTATATACCTACAGTGGATTATTATTCAGCTGTAAAGAGAAATGAAGTTCTGATACATGCTACCACATGGATGAACCTTGAAAACATTGTGCTGAGTAAAATAAAGTCAACCACAAAAGGATAAATGTTGTATGATCCCACTTATATGAAGTATCTAGAATAGGAAAATACATAAAGACAAAAGTTTATCGGTGGTCATCAGGAGTGGAGGGAGACGGAAAGGGGGAGGTACTGCTTAAGGAGCACTGAGTTTCTGTTAAGGGTGATGCAAAAATTTGGAAACAAATGGTGATGGTTGCGCTACATGTTGAACATAATTAATGTCACTGAATTGTACACGTAAAAATGGTTGAAATGGCAAATGTTTTCTTATGTATCTCTTACCACAATAAAATTTTTTGTTTGTTTTAGCTTTTTTTTTTTTGGTACTTGAGATGAAAGTTTACAGAACAAGCTAGCTTCTCATTAAAGAATTAATACACATATTGTTTTGTGACGTTGGTTACCAACCCCACAACATGTCAACACTCTCCCTCACAACATGTCAACATTCTCCCTTCTCGAACTTGGGTTCCCTATTACCAGCTTTCCTGTCCCCTCCTGCCTTCTAGTCCTTGTCCCTGGGCTGGTGTGTCCCTTTAGTCTCATTTTGTTTTATGGGCCTGTCTAATCTTTGGTTGAAGGGTGAACCTCATGAGTGACTTCATTACTGAGCTAAAAGGCTGTCTGCGGGCCGTACTCTTGGGGTTTGTCCAGTCTCTCTCAGTCCAGTAAGTCTAGTCTTTATTTGTGAGTTAGAATTTTGTCTACATTTTTCTCCAGCTCTGTCCGGGACCTTCTGTTGTGATCCCTGTCAGAACAAGTCAGTGGTGGTAGCCAGGCACTGTCTGGTTGTGCTGACCTCAGTCTGGTGGAGGCTGTAGTAGTTGTGGTCCATTAGTCGTTTGGACTAATCTTTCCCTTGTGTCTTTGGTTTTCTTCATGCTGTCTTGCTCCCAACAGGATAAGACCAGTGGAGTATCTTAGATGGCCACTCACAAGCTTTTAAGAGCACAAACGTTACTCACCAAAGTAGAACATTTTCTTTATAAACTGGGTTATGCCAATTGAACTAGATGTTCCCAGAGACCATGGTCCCTACAGCCTTCAGCCCAGTAATTTGATCCATCTGGGAGTTTGGATGTGTCTATGGATCTTCCATGACCTTGCCTCGGACAAGTTACCACAAGAAAATTTTAAAAATTAAAGAAAAAAACACCAACAAAACTTTTTTTTCCTGTGAAAGTATAAAATATACACTTCACTCAATTAGAAGATTACAGTTAAAACATGATTTTGTAAAATTAAGATAATGAAAATACATACCTCAAAGGGCTGTTGTGTGGAGAGAGCTTTTATAAAGTGTTAGAATAGTGCCTAGCACTCATTAAGGACTGCTATTGATAGCCTCATGTTCATCATTATTCCATTAATTCAAATCCTTTCTACACAAATACATGCCCTTCTAAAGGTGTAAGATACAAGTCCCGCCATCCTCCTCAGCAGAAATTTTACCTTGGTGATTCATTATGAAACTCATTTCCCAGAGGTGGAGAGGGGGTTGTAGCAGTGATTTCATCCAGCCATTACGTATTACTCAGCTTATTTTGTGGATAGAGAGCCGTGTAGATCTGTGTTGTCTAAAGTATAGTACAAGGACCACCTTCACTAGAGTTAAACCCAAAACCAAACCAAATGCTGTTGAGTTGATTCCAACTCATAGCGACCCTTTCTTTAGCACGTAACCGCTTTGCCACCAAGGCTTCTTATGAGTCACTAAAGTTAACCAGTGTTTAATACTTAGATTCCAGTGTTCCACCTTTGCCCTATGAAATCAGAGTCTCCAGGGGTGGAATCCAGAAATCTGATATTTATACATATTAAATTTTGAGGACCACTGGTTTTACTGCAGGAGTCCTGGTGGTGCAGTAGTTAAGTGCTCAGCTGCTAACTGAAAGGTTGGCAGTTCGAACCCACTAGCCTGCTCTGCAGGAGAAAGAAGTGGCAGTTGGCTTCTGTAAAGATTACAGCCCTGGAAACCGTATGGGGCAGTTCTGCTCTGTTCTATAGGGTCGCTATGAGCCGGAATCAACTCGATGGCAAGGGGGTTCTTACTGCACCTCTCGTCATATCTTCGAGGCCTTATCATTGGCATAATCAAACCCTTTGCTGAACTCATGGAAGGACATTAATGTGAGTAAATTGCATGTGTTGGTAATAAAAGTAGTGACCAGATGAAACCCAGTCTAATGATTGGATTTAATTTAGATAGAGTCGTGACCCTGTTTTAAAGCAGGGTCACAGGACTTCACATTTAATTTTTAGGTAACAGGATACCTCTTTCATTAAACCAGTGGCTGTTGAATTGATTCCAGCTCATGGTGATTTCATGTGTGTTAGAGCAGAACTGTGCACCATAGGGTTTTTAATGGCTGATTTTTCAAAGTAGATTGCCAGGCCTTTCTTCTGAGGTGTCTATGGGAGGACTCAAACCTCCACTCTTTCGGTTATCAGCCAAGTGTGTTAACTATTTGCACTACCCAAGGACTTCTACTTCTTTCATTAGGAGTCTTTTACTTAACAATGCCTGAAATAGTGAAATGGAAAAAAATGCAAATAACCTTTGTTTTGCAAATTTTCACAAACTTTATTGTCAACTTTTGTGAGACTGTTTTGCTTGATGACTCATGGTGTTGAATTTCATGGTGTTGAATTTAGAAAACGACTGATTTTTTTTTTTTTTCACTTTATTTTGCATTGATTAGCTTGTTGGTATTTAGTATTTGATAACTACTGTCCTTAAATCCTTAGTCTTAAGGAATATATTTAGCTTAAACCAAGTCATTATTTTTTTCTTTTAAAACTATAAAAATCTGTAAGTTATTAATCATATAGGTTGGAATAGTATATGTATCATTTCCTTCAGGATCCCCTCCCTAACTTAGGCCTATTTTTCTTCTTCACTCACCATTATAATAAAAACGAAAAACCAAACCAGTAGCTGTCGAGTGGAATCTTAAGTATACAATACAGAGTCTGAGGCAAGGGCCAAGTACATAATACTGTGTTCTTCTCAAACAAGCAGTTTACCACTTTTGGCATATATGTATTAATTAGAAATGAAGACATCTCATTGTTTTAGATTTCTATATATTATTTGTTACCTTTTTGTAATCTACTGTTCTTTATATTGATGTTTTTACTTTGAATAAGTATGCTATACTTTTTAGGATAATTGAAAAGTTCTCTAAATACAGTCTTTTGAACCTAAGATTTGTCCCCACACATTGTTTAATATAATTGAAAGCATTCCACTTAGTAGTTACAGAAGCTATGAGAAGGAAAATGTCTTGGTAAATTAAGAACATCACTATTATTTGTAATATGGAAGCATGTTTGTGCAGCTTTGGAATCTTTTAATGCCCAAGAACAAGTTGAAGGCTAGAATCTCCAAGCAGTGGGCCGACATTGGTTTCCAGGGTGATGATCCCAAAACAGACTTCAGAGGCATGGGCATACTTGGATTAATCAATCTTGTGTAAGTGAAAATAAACTTTTTTCTTTACATGAAATTACATGTACTCTTCAATCTGATTAAATGGTAATAGTAATTAATATAGTTTTTTCATACTGTCTCTGAATTTCAGTAGCTACAGTGCTAAAAGTACTAATGAAGATACTGGAAATGGACTTTCTATGTGTGTGTGATTTCTTTACTTACCAATACTTTTCCTCTTCCTTTCTGTCCCTATCCTCCCTTCTGATGCCTCCCAAAGAAGTTTATATACTTTTTCTTACTATTTTTATCCTCTTGCTTCTTCTCTCGTGGTTCTTTGACTCCATTTTGGGGAATATAACCAGGTAAGATGATAATAAAATCTCTTCACACTATTTGCCGTCTGTTTAACACCTGATCTAAATCCCTGACTTTTCAGAGACTATGAACTTTTCTTTTTCCTGTCTAAAACCTATGTGTGACCACATATATAGAACCCCAAAATATGTAACTCAAATTAGAATTAAGAGCCGAAACTAGAAGATAAACTGAAGATTAATTTTCTCCTATAATTATGAAAATTAACAGATTCTAGTGTTTGGATCTATCTCTGAATTGTAATTTACAGACTATAAAGTATCTAGAATGGAAAATCTGACTGTTAACAGTTTAGATAATTCTTACTGTGAAAAAATTAATCTTCAAATTGAGCTAAATAAGGTTAATAGTGAGAGAAAATATTTAGGTCCATATGGATAAGGCTATGGGAGAAGAAAGACAATAGGGTAGGGTTTCAATATGTAAATTTTTTTCCAATTATAAAAGTATTTAATTTTCTGTAATATCTAAATTTTATGTGTACAAAAGTTCCCCATAATTCCACCTCCCAGAGATAAAGTTTTACAAATAATAATTAATGAAAATGATATTGCCAGTTTTTTACTTTGATAAACAGAAACTTGCATTTGCATTTAAGTAGAATAAAAGCAGTTTTTTTCTATTTGGACCAATTATAAAATATTTTAAAATTCATGGATCTTTTCTTTTGTTCTTAGCCTGTAAATGTCATATTTCTTCTTGTCATTTTTAAGCTACTACCTTTATATCAGTGCCATGGCTTAGCTGGTAAAAGCACCTGTCTAGTAAACAGGAGATCCTGGGTTTGAATCACCGCGGTGCCTGGGCCAATCAAAAGCAGTATAGTATTGGAGCCCTGGTGGCATAGTGGTTAAGAGCTCAGCTGCTAACCAGAAGGTCAGCAGTTCAAATCCACCAGCCACTCAGCAACAACTTTATATCAAGAAACATTGGTATTCGAGCTGACTCACCCTTGATTGGACCCATGCTAATTCTGTTGTTTACTTTCTTAATTTCTCTGAGTAACCTTGCTCTTGGCTCTTTTCCTCAGAAATCAAGATTTCTCAGCATCTGCCAGAAGAGAATTCAATTTAGCTTAAATTTTAAATAATTTAATAGAATCTGACTCTAGACTGTGGTAGGGGATTCTGATAGGCCTTTAAATGACTTGTAGATATTTTCACCTATTTAGAACTAGTATCAAAAAATGACCAAGATTCAAATACATTAGTAATTATTTGATTGACAATGATACACAGGTAGTCCCCAGTTTAGGACAGGGTTCCATTCCGACAGATGTCAGTTCTGACGTCAGTCCAATACCTCTTTTTTTTTTTTTCTTTTTTAGTTTTCATTATTATTGCCTTTTATTATCAGTATCTGTAAATCTGATCTTTATTTGTCTTTGGAGGTTGGAAACTACATTAAACTTACAGATATGATGATATTAGCAAATTATGTGCTGCAACATTGTATGTAGTACACATTACTAACAGTAAGATGTACCAAAAAAAAAAAAAAATGCGGATGGTGTTAAGTGCAGTTCGTCGTAACTTGAATATGCTGTAAGTCAGGGACTACCTGTACTAGAAATGGTGGAAAACACAGAATTAGCTCTGATTTCTCTGTAATGGTATTTGTTGTCCTGTGTATGAAGCTATGACACTTTAGGATCAAAATAAAGATATGGTCTAAGAATGGGGCAAGGTGTTAAAATGAAAATGTTTGGTATAGATAATGTATAGTAAAAATAGAGGGAGAGATTTTATTACAAATCTCTACTGTTTATGAAAATTTTAATGATCATGCCCTCTAAAATGGAAGTAAACAATGAAAATCCATTTTTTATTTGACCTCTTATCCTTATGTAAACATCCAGTCATCATATATGTATATGTGTATTTGATTATTAGGTGATCTGAAGGTTTGAACAGAAGATTTTGTCCTTATCTTTAAGAACTCAAGGAGGTTGCTTTAGTACACACCAAAAGGATGTATAAGCCTTCATATAGTACTTTATAGATTTCTCTTGTACCGGCTGATACTTCCCTTATGGCCATTATTTTAGTTGTAGCACTTATTAAGGAAATTTTTCCTAGCGTAAAACAAAGGTTATTGACTTTCTTCTAAATGCTCTGAAAATGGCATTTAAACAACACAGACTTGCAGTAAAAGGAAAAAGCCTAGGTGAAAGGAAGAGTGTTCCAACAGGTATATATTGAGTATTTTACAGAAAATTTGAAACAAAACTGGAGGGTTTTTTATTATTATTATTGCAGCACTATTCATAATAGCTAAAAGGTGGAAACAACCTAAATGTCCATCAGCAGATGAATGGATAAACAAAGTGTGGTGTGTGTAATGTATATATTTGTGAGACACTAAAGTGATTTAGATGGAAATCGGGATGATTGTGGCAGTAGGCTAGGACTATCATTTTGACCATAGTTTTTTTAAACTGCTTCTGGATATCTTGAATGTTGAAGGGCATGTGTTCATTTCGTTATTTTTCTTAAACTCTTAGGTATTTCAGTGAAAATTATACCACTGTAGCTCATCAGATTCTTTCCCGCTCAAATCATCCAAAATTAGGGTAAGATGCGTATATATTAAAGAAACTGTAACACTTTTTTAAAACTGTGTATCTCTTGAATTTAAGATGATTAGATAATTTGAATTGAATAAATACTTTCCAAGGTATTTCGTTAATGAGACTATTTAATAAGAACCTAATACAGGATATTACATGATACATTATTTTTAACACTAAATGTGATCATGAACCAATTTTGTATCTATTGCAATATATTTTTATCACAAGATACAGTTTATCTGTAGATATAAGGGGCCTTTATAAAATTTTTTGTGAGAAATAGATTTGAAAATAGGAATAGAAAAGTGGGATATAGCTTTGAGAACTGTGAAGTAGAATGCAAAATGAGGTCATATAATTAACTTTATCATTTTATTTTTATATTCTGATGATAATGTTAGATCATAAAAAATAAATTCTCTGACAGTGGAAGAGGAAACAGCAGATTATTCACTGTATTTTAGATATTTGTTTTTAGGGATTTAGTTTCAGATACTCATTTGAACAGAACTTTATTTTAATTTCTTAGATTATATCCTGAAAATCAATAGCTTTTAAAGAACAACATTTTTGGATCCATTCTAGTGTATTTTTCTTAATATGTAGAGATTATCATAAAGTCAGTACTGTGATAGAAATGGAACAAAGTATTATTTCACTAGTTTGTTGTATAATTTTAAATTTATCTTATGAGCCATTTGGCTAGTTGGTATAACTGATAATGTTTCTGACATAGGTATTCTTATGCAATAGTTGGAATCAATCTTACAGAGATGGCTTATAGCTTGCTGAAGAGTGAAGCTTTGAAGTTTTATCTCTACAACTTTGTTCCTGGTATACCAACAATGGAACACTTTCATCAGTTTTATTGTGAGTATTAATACTAATATTGTAGGTTAAAACCAGACATTTCTAAGAGAGCTTTTAAACCATTAAGAACATATATAGTTTTGTTGTGTATCGTTTCAACAACAAAAAATAAATAAAAAGATAGTTTAATCAAACACCTCTATCGAGTATATAATTTATGCTTGTCATTTTACTATTTAGGATATTAAAAACAGGAAAATAAAATAATAGAAGATGGGTCCCCAAGAGTATTTTATATTTCAGCATCCCGCTCTGTTTTCTTGATCTTTTTGTATCTTTAGAACGTTATTTGCAGTAAATAAATGGCCCCATTATAACTTCTCCAACTCCATTGCTGAAGGTATTATTCATGGCTCCCTTTCCCACAGCTCCCCCATTTACTTAATCTTTTATTCCAGTTTTATCTACATCCTAAATTTTTCTTACATTTGTATAGTTCTCATCCCCATTGTAACTGCACAAGTTAAGGCCTTTGTTACTAGGTTACTGTGATAGCCTTTTAACTAGTCTCTGTATGATGACCCTCTTCCAATTCTTCTTCACATTGCAGATCATCTAGTTATTTAAAATGAAAATCTAATCATTTTACTATATTGCCTAAATCCCAATTACAAGGCCCTGCATAATCCAGACCTTGATAACCTCTCCAGACCCATCTTTTGTCACATACCCTTCACACTCTATAGTTTAGCCATATTTATCTTCCTTTAGTTGCTCAAATGTATCATGCTCTCTCTTACCTCTGGAGCTCTCTAGGTGATGTTCACTCAGCCTAGGACACTTCTGCTGGTCCCTCCTTTCTTTCCAGGTGATGCCTACTAGTCCTTGAAACCTCAATTTAGATGTAACGTTCTTTGGGAGGTCTTATCAGAGACTTGTTCCTTCAGTTATCCATGTCTCTCCTTATTATTAATCTTTCCTTCTCTGTTTGAATATTCCTGCCAGACTACAGCCTTACCTCTCATTCATTTATTCATTCACTTGCTCTGTGCCAGGTGCTATTCTGTTGTTAGGTGTCATCGAGTTGGTTCCAACTCATAGCGACCCTATGTACAACAGAATGAAACACTGCCCAGTCCTGCATCATCCTCACAATCATCATTATGCTTGAGGCCATTGTTGCAGCTACTATGTCACTCCATCTCGTTGAGGGTCTTCCTCTTTTTTTCTGACCCTGTACTTTACCAAGCATGATGTCCTTCTCCAGAAACTGATCCCTCCTGATAACATGTCCAAAGTATGTGAGACATAGTCTTGCTATCCTTGCATCTAAGGAGCATTCTGGTTGTACTTCGTCCAAGACAGAGTGTTGATTCTTTTGGCAGTTCGTGGTATATTCAATATTCTTTGCCACCACCATAATTCAAAGGCGTCAGTTTTTCTTTGGTCTTCCTTATTCATTGTCTAGTTTTCGCATGCATATGAAGCAACTGAAAACATCATGGCTTGGGTCAGGCTCACCTTAGTCTTCAAGGTTACATCTTTGCTTTTTAACATTTTAAAGAGGCCTTTTGCAGCAGATTTGCCCGATGCAATGTGTCTTTTGATTTCTTGATTGCTGCTTCCATGAGTGTTGATTGTGGATCCAAGTAAAAAGAAATCCTTGATAACTTAGATCTTTTCCCTGTTTATCGTGATGTTGTTTATTGGTCTAGTTGTGAGGATTTTTGTTTTCTTTATGTTGAGATGTAATCCATACTGAGGGCTGTAGTCTTTAATCTTCATCAGTAAGTGCTTCAAGTCCTCTTCACTTTCAGCATGCAAGGTTGTGTCATCAGCATAACACAGGTTGTTGATGAGTCTTCCTCAAATTCCGATGCCGTTTTTCTTGATATAGTCCAGCTTCTTGAATTATTTGCTCAGCCTACAGATTGAACAGGTATGGTGAAAGGATATAACCCTTATGCACACCTTTCCTGACTTTAAACCACGCACTATGCCCTTGTTCTGTTTGAACGACTGCCTCTTAATCTATGTACAGGTTCCTCATGAGCACAACTGGAATTCCCATTCTTTGCGATGTAATGCATAATTTGTTATGATTCACACAGTTGAAAGCCTTTGCATAGTCAGTAAAACACAGGTAAACATCTTTCTGTTATTCTCTGCTTTCAGCCAGGATCCATCTGACATCAGCAGTGATATCCCTGGTTCCACGTCCTCTCGTGAACCTGCCTTGCATTTCTAGCAGTTCCCTGTTGATGTACTGCTGCAGCAGCTTTTAAATGATATTCGGCAAAATTTTGCTTGTGTGTAATATTAATGATATTGTTTGATATTTTCTGCATTTGGTTGGATCACCTTTCTTTGGAATAGGCATAAATATGGATCTCTTTCAGTCAATTGGCCAGGTAGCTGTCTTCCAAATTTCTTGGCATAGATGAGTGAGCACTTGCAGCCCTGCATTCCTTTGTTGAAATATCTCAATTAGTATTCTGCCAATTCCTGGAGTGTTGTTTTCACCAATGCCTTCAGTGCAGCTTGGACCTCTTCTTTCATTACCATCAGTTCCTGATCATATGCTACCTCGTGAAATGGTTGAACATTGGCCAGTTCTTTTTGGTATAGTGACTTTGTGTATTCTTCCATCTTCTTTTGATGCTTCCTGCATCGTTTAATATTTTCCCTGTAGAATCCTGCAGTATTGCAACTCAAATCTTGAATTTTTTTCTCCAGTTCTTTCAGCTTGAGAATTGCTGATTGTGTTTTTCCCTTTTGGTTTTCTAAATCCAGGTCTTTGCACATGTCATTATAATACTTTACTTTGTCTTCTTGAGCCGCCCTTTGAAATCTTCCTTTCAGCTCTTTTACTTCATCATTTCTTCCGTTAGCTTTAGCTACTCGACGTTCAAGAGCAAGTTTTAGAGTCCCTTCTGTCATCCATTTTGGTCTTTTCTTTCTTTCCTGCCTTTTTAATGACCTCTTGCTTTCTTCATGTATGATGTCCTTCCACAACTCATCTGGTCTTCGGTCATTAGTGCTCAGCACATCAAATCTGTTCTTGAGATGGTCTCTAAGTTCAGGTGGGATATACTGAAGATCATACTTTGGCTCTCATGGACTTATTTCTAATCTTCTTCAGCTTCAACTTGAACTTGCATATGAGCAATTGAGGGTCTGTTCCACAGTCGACCCCTGGCCTTGTTCTGACTGATAATATTGAGCTTTTCCATCGTCTCTTTCCACAGATGTAGTCGATTTGATTCCTGTGTATTCCATCTGGCGAGGTCCACGTGTATAGTCATCTTTATGTTGTTGAAAAAAGGTATTTGCAATGAAGAAGCTGTTGGTCTTGCAAAATGCTATCACGCAATCTCCGGCATCATTTCTATCCCCAAGGCCATATTTTTCCAACTACCGATCATTATTTGTTTCCAGCCTTCACATTCCAGTCACCAGTAATATCAGTACATCCTGACTGCATGTTCAATCAATTTCAGACTGCAGAAATTGGTAAAAATTTTCAGTTTCTTCATCTCTGGCCTTAATGGTTGGTGCTTAAATTTGAACAATAGTCATATTAAGTGGTGTTCCTTGTAGGCATATGGATATTATCCTATCTCTGACAGTGTTGTACTTCAGGATAGATCTTGAAACGTTCTTTTTGATGATGAATGCAATGCCATTCCTCTTCAAGTTGTCATTCCCGGCATAGTAGACTATATGATTGTCTGATTCAAAATAGCCAATACCAGTCCATTTCAGCTCACTAGTGCCTAGGATATGGATGTTTATGCATTCCATTTCATTTCTAAGGATTTCTAATTTTCCTAGATTCATACTTCATATGTTCCATGTTTTGATTATTAATGGATATTTGTAGCTATTTCTTCTCATTTTGAGTTGTGCCACATCAGCAAATGCATGTCCTGAAAGCTTGATTCCATCCATGTCATTAAAGTTGACTCTTCTTGGAGGAGGCAGCTCTTCCCCAGTCGTCTTTTGAGTGCCTTCCAACCTGAGGGGCTCATCTTCAGCCACTGGGAATATAGCAAAAAAAAAGCGAAGTCCCTACGTTCATGGAGCTTTCATATTCATAAACAATACAAAACTTTCCTTCATGTACCATCTAACTCCAGGTACCTCCCTGTTTCTCTGCTCCCCTTTATCATTAAACTCTTTCAAGAATACTGTTTTCATTTTCTCACCTTCAATTTTTATTTAACCACACTTTAGTTTCTCTCCCCACTACTCTAGTGAAACTGATTTTCTCAAAAACACCAAATTTTCTTGTTACCAAATCCAGTATCCACTTTTTAATCTTCATGTTATTTGACCATTTTAGCAGCATGAGGCATAAATGACCATGCCTTTCTTCTTGAAACATTATCTTGTTTTTTCTTATGCCAAACTCCTCTGGCTTTTCTCCTGTCCCACTGGTGTTTCTATAGACTTTTTTGACAACTCCTCATCCATTACCTTACTAAATGTAGGAGCAGCTCAGAGCCTCGTCCTTTAGTAGCCTTATGTCTACTAAAGAATAGCACTGCCAGCTTCCTAGACTTTTGGTATCATCTCCTGTAGTTTCCTGATGTCTCATTAAATCACCTTAGCCATTGCAGTCGAGGTTCTTTGAGTTAGTCTTTCTTCTGACACCGATTTATGTTATAGACCAACAACCTCACTCTGAAGGAAGAAGCTTCCAGCACCTTACACTCGAGCAGTTTATTCCAGGCCCATATAGTCATTTGAATGGGCGACACTGCCTGTCAGTAATGAAAAAGCAATTTTAAAGGACTTGTAAAAATGGTAAATAGTTAAAATAATAACTTGAACCCTGAAACAAATGGTATACTGTAAAATTTGGATAGTTGTCTGATTTTTCCTACTATCCAGAACATTAATCTACAAATTTTTTTATTGCACATTCCTATCAGCATATTGGGAGGGAGGGGGAAAACAGACTCCATTTGTGTATGTATGAGTATTTTTTATACATATACTACTGTCCAGTAGATTGTATGCACAATAAATTTTGAGTGAAATAAAGATTAAAAAAATGATATTTTAAAATAATTACAGGATTACAATTCATCTCATCTTTTGGGAACAAGAAGCAGATGGTATTCCTCTGGAGGCCTTATTCTTTGATTTTCTCACATAACCTTGTTTGACAAAATAGGTTTTATCATATCAAGAGATTCATCTGAAATCTTTCTTAAACTGACCTTCTTATGAAGCAGTGTTTCAAAGTTGAAATGTGATGATTCTTAACTACTTATGTTTGCTTTATGATCAATATGTTTTAAAAATGTAATTTCCATCTTTTCATACTAGGCAGTTTTGATAGTCTAGCCACAATCTTGTTTAAAGTCATTGGCTTTTTTTTTTCCCCTGTTTATCCTTAAATAAGTCACTTCTGTCATTTCTTGAAAAGTCCTTCAGAAGGGGAGATGAAATTCTGGTGGAAACAAAGTGCAGTTTCTAGCACAATAGAGGCCACTTGCGAACTGTGTAATCTGGGCAAGTAATTTAACCTCTCTGCCTCTGTTTCCTCTTCAGTAAAATGAGAATAACCTAGAACCTGCATCAAAAGGTTACTATGAGAGTAAATAAGCACACAGTGAGCACTTCCGAGGTATTTGTTAAATAATTAAATAAATTCATTGAGTTGAATACAAAAATAGGGTTTAGGGATGTTTTTAATTGACTTTTTTTGTTATAAACAACCAAGTAATATGTTTATTTTCATGTGTTATAAATAATCTAGTCACTTGTTTATTTTCATGAAATACTTTTAGCTTTTGGAGGTTAATGTGATTAGTACAGTGAGGATATTGGGGGAAAAATGTTATGCTTATGTTATCATTAGCTGCTGTCGAGTCAGCTCCCAACTCATAGCGACACCCTGTGTTACGGAGTAGAACTGCTCCATAGGGTTTTCTTGGCTGTAATCTTTATGGAAGTAGTTCACAAAGCCTTTCTTCTGAGGAGCCATTGAGGGGGGTGGGGTCGTAAACCACTAGTACCACCCAGGCTTCTTAAGCCTATGTAGAGTTCACGTATTCTTTTTAAAAAGAAAAGATGCTGATAGTTCATTGAAAAAGTAGAAGTAATTCTGAGATTCAGAAATCAAGTAAAAAATAGCTGTTTTTTACTTTATCCGTGTCTAACATTTTCTGTTACTTTCATCTTTGTATTTTAGAAGTCTCCGTTTGGGAAAAAATTTTTTTCTGTTCTTGAGGTATCTTTTGAAAGTCCTCCCCACATCTCTTAGGTTTCAGGGATTTTGTTGATTTTTGAAAAAAATAACAAATGTACATTAAATATTGAAATTGCTATTATATTTTATAAATATAAAAATATTTCTTATAAAGATCATCAGATTTCTAGTAGTTTAAGATTGTTTTTGCTTATTGTATCCTAATATGGAATTTCAAGGCTGGTTTTGTATTTTAAAAATAAGATGGTTTGTATTGTGATTTTTCTGTTGAACATTGTATTTATGTTTTATTTTTCTTTAACTGCAGGTTATCTTGTCTATGAATTTGACAAGTTTTGGTTTGAAGAAAAGCCAGAAAGCATAATGTATTTCAACCTCTATAGAGAGAAGTTTCATGAGAAGATTAAAAGACTGTTACTGGATTCTAATGTAGCACTTACTTTAAAAATATAAATCATCCATAGTACTTCTATTTCTACCACATTTTGCACTCCCAATAGAATTTATATGTTGTTATAGAAATTACTGACCAGTTACATTCCTATATATAATTTTTAACAAAAATATTTCAGAAATTCTATTTACAAAAGCTGGTGGACAATCAGTGTATGTTTACAGTTGCTTATACACTGTTCTCCAAAGGTACCTTGCCCTTCCAAAGATCCCCTCTGTAGAGTCACGTGAACTACAGTGTGGAACTTGGGACTTAGCCCATTTCACATAAAAGTATAAATCAGGTATTTGTATTAAACCGGTTGATTAAAATGTGGAAAAATTAGTTTTCATTTTTATGTATTGTAGCTATCCAGTTGGCATCTTTTGAAGGCCCTTTTAAGGTTACTGTTTTTTAGTGTGGAAATGGCATGTTTTCTGCATCTTTTTTTAAATTTCTAAATTAATTAACAGCAAGAGTAGTTCTTTATAATTATTTTTACATCCCAGTCACACGTCTTAATGTTGCTTCATTTGTAGCAGCAAGAGCAGAGATATGTCAGAGAGGATTAAGAATCATGTCCTTTTTGGTTCTCCCTGATTATTAGGCATGAAAAGTAATGAAAGAATAACAGTGTTGGTGACTAATTTATTTGAAAAACTACTATGCTTTAGAATCTTGCAGTGTTATTTTGAAGCTAAAAGGCATTTTCTCATCTTTAGTATTTGATTTTTATCAGTGGTAGAAAAAGCTTTAGTTATTGCCTGGTCTGAAAGCCTTTTACGAAGCTTCTCCATCTGTGTGTATTTTTGAAAAGATGTATTTGCTAAGAAAATCTTGACTGTACTTAGAGGACAGTTTCTATTTCAATAAAGCTGTTCTTGAAAAATTAGAGGAAAAGTTAAAGCTTTTTAAAAACCTCAGTTAAACATCATCGGTTTATTTGACTGTTCACTCCATGGTCTTTTTAGATAATATTGTATGGATATATGGGTATTCCTTGAGTTAACAATCTGTAGCATTCTAAAATAGCCTGAGGATGATGACTGTGCATTTTGTATGGCTTTATTCTAAAATCTCAGGAGGACAGCAAATGCTATCAAGGATGATGTAGTGATGAGATTCTAATGGAGAAGGAAGTGTGTTTTGACATTTGTACTCAGCAAAAGAGCTAAAAGAGCTTGAAGATAGTGAAGTTCATCTGATTACTAAGCTCTCCTTTAGTCCTTCAGAAACGAACCTGTTAAAGACAGAATTTAATCTAAAACATGATGATATTTCCCACATCTTTTAACATTGTATATATCAAGTGTTTAAGGACTGGCTCTTATATGAGATAGCAACACTTGAGACTTTTAAGTGTCCATTCATTGACAAACCTCTCTCTTAATCCTTGCCAAAGAGAAGAGTGGTAAGAAATATCCAACTGGAAAATAAGAGATGCAGCATTGGATAGCACATACATTAAAAGTGCACACTTTAAAACAATTATTTTCTAAACAAGAGAAAACTATTTTTTAAAGTTAGTTTATTTTATTATTATAATAGTGGTGCTTTCTTGAAGGGGCTTCTCAACCTTGGGAGTATCGTAATTTTTTTTTTTTTTTTAAATGTTTTCATGCTTTACCATCCAGCTAGAGTTCTATGGTATGTAGCAAAATCCTGACAAGGATCAGGTGTTATCTGTTAAAATTCATTGTCTCAGGATGGTAACAATTACATGGAAGCCAATTTTGTTAGTCTTTTAATTTTTATGTTGAAAATATTTATATTTTAATCTTTCAACAGCTGGGATCTTGAACTGATTTAACCCTTTGTCAGTGTACGTAACAAAAGAGTGATTGGAGTATGGAAGGGAAAACTTTTTAAGTAGTTCAGTTTTTCCCTTTTTAGGGATTAAAAAAACCCTGTACGTCCTTTACTGTTAAGAAACCATTGTTGCTATAAAGTTTGCTCAATAATATGTTCTTTAAATCCACCTCCTTTTGTACATTATAGGTATGGGTCTGTTTTCATTTAAAATATTCAGTAACCATTTCAGATAATTCTATAGCGAATTGGTCTAAAAGCCACCAATAATTCTAAAACTTGATAATCTGGAAGCCAAACTCAATGTCACCAGTTGTAAATTAGAATGTGAGATAGCCTTCTGATCTATATGTGACACTGACGTACATGAGGAGAAAAATACAATGATTGTGTATGCCTTTCTGCTTGGCTTTCAGCATATGTATGTTAGAAGTTTATGTAGTCTTAAAATGTGTATTTAGAATCTTACCTTTTTCTATAATAATTAATAAAATGCTAAAGTAGCAATAGAATATTATGACATTGTAGTAGCAGGAAAAGTGTGTTTATTTTAGCATCAAAAAGTGTTTCAGTGTTGAAATGATTTTTTTTATGTAGTTGGTCGGAAAGTTTGCCAGTGACAAGAATAGTCTCAGTGTGTCATTAGAAGGGTTATAGTTCAAATATGTTCTGAAGGACAATCTTTAAAGAAATGAGAGAAATCAGGGGGTATTGATGAACCTAAACTAACCTCTTTTTGCATATAAATGGTGATATAACTGTATATATCAGTGTCTTACTGGCACCATTTACAGTTAAGAAAACAATCTTTTTCTTCAAAATGCCCATCCTGATTTTTTTCTATTTTAAGAACTAGGTACTTGGATTTGTATGTATTTTTCTATGTGAAAATATATGTATTCTTCATATTTATTCCAGTGTTCATAATTGTTCATATTTTCTTTCTCCCCTTTGAGATCCTTCAGTGAAATAGACTTGGTGAAAGATTTGCTTAAAGGAGAAGCATTACATGAGTGTGAAAAGTGGACTTGCCCATTGCCAGAGCAGAAAAGATTAAACTGTTATCATGGCATAGAAGAGAGGCGGTTTGGCTTGGAGGGCAGTAACGTTTATTTATCTTTCTTGAAATTATGGTTAGGGACCAGCAGCTGTTTTCTCAGGATAAATGCTCCACCCCACTTGTCTATGAACAAGTCTGGGGAAGCTTAATTTCCATTTTCATATTTATGAATCTCACCACACAATTTTTAAATGAAGATTAATGGTATTGTTAAAATCTGAGAGAAATCATGGCTTGAACTTTTTACTCTTCTGGCTTCAACTTTTGTTGAGAAAAACTAAAAATGTGCAGGTAAAATATAACTGCTGCATTATCATAGGGCAATTCTACATTTCTGTTAAAGTATTCGAAAACTATTTAAGTAGTAGTTTCCCTGGGGGGGGAAGTGCCCATTGGCAATTTAAAGAAATTGATCTGTGTCTACTTTTAACTAAGACGGCTGACTTCTTATGTAAAAGCAGTAGTGTGAAATGTGATGTCATTTTGTTCGGAATATTAAATGAGCAAATAAAAAATATGTTGAAATTGTTACAGGCCTTTCTGTTGATACTTTTACTTTCTTCCCATCCCCTCTATCCCTTACTCAAGTCATTTATGTTCATGAAACATGGCTTTTTTTTTTCTTTTTTTTAATTGTGCTTTAAGTGAAAGTTTGCAACTCAGGTTCGTTTCTCATACAAAAATTTATACACACATTGTTATGTGACCCTAGTTGCTCTCCCTACAATGTGACAGCACACTCCTCCTTTCCACCCTGGATTTCCTGTGTCCATTCACCCAGCTCCTGACCCTTTATGCCTCCTCAATTCGCCTCCATTTAGTCTTTATTATCTACTTGAACTAAGAAGCACATTCTTCATGAGTATCATTTTATGTCTCATTGTTCAGTCTAATCTTTGTCTGAAGAGTTGGCTTCGGCAGTGGTTTTAGTTCTGGGTTAATAGAGTGTCTGGGGGCCATGTCTTCCAGGGTTCTTCCAGTATCAGACCATTAAGTCTGGTATTTTTACTAGAATTTGAGTTCTGCACCCCACTTTTCTCCTGCTCCATCAGGGGTGCTTTTCTTATTTGATCTTTTAATCATATTGCTATAGAGTAAATCAAAATATACAGAAAAAAAAGTTCATACTCATCCACTAATTACCTCTTTAAGTTGTTACTGAATGAGAACAATTGTTTGAGACGAAAACTTGCTTCATTTTAAAAGAAGCCACCAGAAACAATATCCACCAAACTCCCCCCTTGTTTTTCAAAGGATAGGAATAATCATTACTGTACTGCACTGTTTTTTTTCCCCCGAACTTCACAATGTATCTTAAAGCTATTTTCATATTAATATATAGCTTCCTCCTCCTATTTTTTTTACAGCTATGAAGGGTTCTGGTATGTATGTGTATGTGTGTGTGTGTATATGTATGACAGGTTTCCATATTATTTATAATCTTGCTTTTATAAGCAATGCTGGAAGGAAAAACCTTGTAGGGTATGCACTAGCTCAGATTTACTGGGTGATACCAAACTGCTTTACAAAGTCGTTACCGATAAACACTACCACAAGCTGTGTATGCTAGTACCGATTTCCCCACACCCTTGCTAAATAGCATGCTGTCAAACACTTGGATATTTGCACGCTATGAAAAAGGTTTCTACAGATGCTAATGATGAATTAGGCTTTGTTGAAAAGATGCCAGAAAGATTCATTTTCATATCAGCAGGCAACTCTTAAGCTGTTCCTCTCTCTTCCCAGGGCAACTTCCAGTGCTAAAACTCTTGTGATTCTAGGATAAATACAATCACTAATAATAATGGCCAAGTGAATATAGTATCTTAGATTAGAAATTGTTATAGTTTGCATAAAATATAGACTGAAAATTAAAAATCCAGTAACTTTCAAATTAAGCTTATGCCTACTGATTGTAAAGAATTTCACTTGCAGTTGGGCAGTTTTGTATTCTAAATTTCAGCTCTTAGCCAGGTATAGATCCCAAAAGACAAAACTTTTAAAAGGTATTAGCAATATTTTATTGGATAAATTAACAACTGTGGTTAATAAAAAAATAGTAAAAGTTTCTTTGATAGCTTTTCATTTTTAAGTATTTATAAATATAAAATGCATTTCAGTCAGTTTTCCTTTCCACCAGTTTGAGTTATAATTAAAACTTTAAAAAGTTCTTCATAATCAATCATAAAATGAAAAACAGTAAATCCAGTAACTTATCTGGACATTGCATGGACCAGGGTGAATACTGAATGTTTAGCTTTCACCTTATGATGAGAATAAAAGTTATACAAAATAGATAACTAGTTTTGCTTTAAAAAAAAAAATCCCAAACTCTCTAAATCTACCAGAATTCTTTTTATCTTTTTAGGGTAAAATAAAGTGAATAGTTTTTTGTTTTGTTTTGATTATCCAGTCGGCAAAGATTCCCACTGGAATTGTTACATTTTTTTCCTGAAACTGATTATGTGGCACAGTCCATAGTCTCCCTCGACTTCATCAATTCTCGTTTCAGCTATTCAAAGCACAAACATAATGACATTCCAGGAACCGAGTCGCAAGAAGGAAGGCACAAACCTGGAAACGTGCATGTCACCATTCTGTTAGTTTGTTTGACATTCTTAAAGCTATATAGCACAGACGGTTGATGCTTCTCATTTTGCCACTCTTCTCACGTGAAGATGCTTAAGTACCTTGTCTTCATTTTTCTCTCCTTTGTCTAAGATCAGTTTTCTTTAGATGACCTATACTGTTTTAAAACAACAAAACCTTGATGATCATATCTGTACAAATCTAGAAGAACCCTTTTCAGTCCCACCAAACCAGAGTATGGCTCCTCTTTTCTGACTTGGCTCTTTTCAGTAACTCTTGCCTTCTTCAAGATTTTGTTAGGGGATGGGGAGAGTTTTGTTTTGTTTTGCTTTCTGAACAAGAGGTAGGGATCCATTACGAACTAAAATGGGGAAATCAGAAGAAACGAATAAGCGAACCCTATTGGAGAGTCAAATTACCAGTGTACTAGTTGCCATCGAGTTGACTTCAGCTTGGATTTGCTGACTCTGAGCCGGTGTCAAGAAATTAGTTCTATCTATATTATGGCAGGAGCCCCGGTGGTGCAGTGGTTAAAGAGTTTGGCTGCTAAGCAAAAGGTCAGCAGTTCAAATCAGCCAGACGCTCCTTGGAAACCCTATAGGGCAGTTCTATACTGTCCTATAGGGTTGCTATGATTCAGAATTGACAGCAACAGTTTTGGTTTTTGGTAGATTATGGCAACCTTGTCCTTAGACTGTCAAAGGTATATGTGTTATTTTGGTTATTTTCTAGAATTCTGACAAACTGCAGACCAGATGATTGATTTTGAATGCCTATTTGCCATAAGGAGCCCTGGTGGCACAGTGGGTAAGAGCTTGGCTGCTAACCAAAAGGTCAGCAGTTTGAATCCACCAGCCGCTCCTTGGAAACCCTATGGGGCAGTTCTACTCCGTCCTATAGGGTTGCTATGAGTCAGAATCAGCTTGACAGCAATGGGTTTTTTATTTGCCATAGTGAAATGCCCCAGGAGAAGATGTCATCAGTTAAAATGTCCTTTGATCAATTGTATACGAGTTCTAGCCTACAAAAATCATCCCCTAAAGAAAATCGTTAAACTGTTAATGAATAATAATTAGTATATCCATTTTATGTTCATTTTATAATATACTTTATTTGTACTAGTATATCATAAGTAGAGAATACAGTGAGTTGACACCTTTTGTATGTGTGATGCATTTATGCCTACTTTATAAGATTTAAGGCATTATTTTACCATTGTAAAGAATTACAATGTTTTATTGTTTTACCTCCAGCATAATCTTTGTTCTGTATATTCATAAATTAGTTTATGCTATTTCTTAAGAAGGTAGTTTACAATATAATATTGTTTTTTATGGGGAAAATGTGACCTACTGCACAATACTAGTTTCTAGGAGGGTATAATAATTACCCAAACAATGTTTTCTACATCTATTTTGTAGATCAGTGGCAATGGTTTTTCTTTATTTTTTTGCTTTAATATAATTCAAAAAATATATTAAATCAATCAAATCCAAATTTGAAAATCAAATCTTGTTTTCTCATAATCCTCTATTATGCTTTCCCTCCACTTTATAGCTCTCTTGCCCAGAGAAGGCAAGTTACTGTCTACATTTCCACTAGGTTGGGACAAGGGGAGAGATCGCTGATTTTGAATGAGCCTCAGATCAAGGCTGAGAAAATCATCCTATCACAGTTTATTTTCTAGCACAGTGGAATTGGTGGGTTGCAGAAATCTGTGGCAAGGAAAAGTAGAAACTAAGTGCACTGCATATACTAAGGCTGGTAAGCTAAATGTCAATTGTTTAGACAAAACAGTGTCCCAAGGCACACGGATACCTTATACAGAAGATTATATCCTACCCTTTGAAAAAAGCCGGCAGTCCTTCCTTGGTGAACACGGTCATTGCACATTTGGGTATGCTTGTGTAGTATCCTGGTGGAGAATTAACAAATCTGGTTTTCACCACATCCACTGGAGAGAACAGAACTGTTGTGCAAAATCCAGCAATGAGAGCAGACACTAAGTGGCAAGGCACATCATCTAAAATGGATCAATGAAACATCAGGTGAGAGAGCTTATAAATTTTCAGTTATTTGTCAGATCCTTGAAAACCAGTTTGTTCATAATGAGAGGTCAATGCAGACATCTCATAAAATATAACAAAGGTTATACTTTTACTTGAAAAAGATAGCAAATAGGACATGGCTTAATGTATTATAAGTTCTTACAGAAAATAACCTGTCAGGTCTCTCTGTGCCATCAGGGCGTAAAATAATGCCTGATAAACATATTAGGCACCTAATACTTCTTTACTGAACCAAAGTCATTGTCTATGGAACATTTCAATAGGTCTCTAGAACCTGTTAGAATATTATTTTTAGGAACCTCTCCTATGGTACAGAGCCCTGGTAGGGTAGTGGTTAAAAGCTCAGCTGCTAACCAAAAGGCCAGCCGCTCAAATCTACCAGCCTCTCCTTGGAAACCCTATGGCATAGTTCCACTCTGTCCTATAGGGTCGCTGAGTTGGAATCAGCTTGACAGCAATGGGTTTCTTTTTTTTTTTGGTTTATCCTATGGTACAGGCATACCTCATTTTATTGGGCTTTTCAGGTTTTTTTTTTTTTTTTTTTTTTACAAATAGAAGGTTTGTGGCAACTCTGCACTGAGCAAGTATATTGGCATCATTTTTCCAACAACATGTGCTCAGTTTGTGTCTCTGTGTCACATTTTGGTAATTCTCAAAATATTTCAAACTTTTTCATTATTATTATACCTTATGGTGATCTGTGATCAGTGATCTTTGATGTTACTTGTAATTGTTTTGGGGCACCACGAACCATGCCCATATAAGACGGTGAACTTAATCGATAAGTGTTGTGTGTGTTCTCCATCTGGCTCAATTGGCATAACACAGTTTATATAGACAATGTTCTACATTCTACCTTGGTGAGTAGCGTCTGGGGTCTTAAAAGCCTGTGAGCAGCCATCTAAGATACTCCACTGGTTTCACCCCTTCGGGAGCAAGGGAGAATGACGAGAACAGGATACAAGGAAAAGATTAGTCCAAAGGACTATTGGACCACAGCTACCAAGGCCTCCACCAGACTGAGTCCAGTACAGCTAGAAGGTGCCTGGCTACCACCACTGACTGCTCTGACCGGGATCACAACAGAGGGTTCTGGACAGAGCTGGAGAAGCATGCAGAACAAAATTCTAACACACACAAAAAAGACCAGATTTATTGGCCTAAAGGAGACTGGAGAAACCCTGAGAGTATGGCCCCCAGACACCCTTTTAGCTCAATGGTGAAGTTACTTCCGAGGTTCACTGTTCAGCCGAGGATTAGACAGCCCCATAAAACAAAATGGGGCTAATGAGGCACAGCAGTCCAGGGACAAGGGCTAGAAGGCAGAAGGGGACAGGACAGCTGGTGATAGGGAACCCAAGGTTGAGTAAGGACAATGTTGATGTGTAGAAGGTTGTTAACCATTGTCATAGGGCAACATGTGTACTAACTGTTTAATGAGAAACTATTTTGTTCTGTAAACCTACATCTAAATTGAGAATAGCAGAAAAATTGGAAGAGCGTAGTCGATGTCACTAAACTGTGCATGTAGAAATTTTTGAAACGGTGTATATTTGGCTACGTATATTTTCACCAAAAAAAAAAAAAAAAAAAGTTGAGAAGGGAGAGAGTTGACATGTCATGGGGTTGTTAACCAATGTCATAAAGCAATATATGTACTACTCTTTAATGAGAAACTATTTGTTCTGTAAACCTTCACCTGAAGTACAATTAAAAAAAAAAAATGTTGTGTGTGTTCTCACTGCTCCACCAATCAGCCATTCCCCCGTCTCTCTCCCTCTCCTCAGGCCTCACTGTTCCTTGAGACACGACAATATTGAAATTAGGACAATTAATAACCCTACAATGGCCTCTAAGTGTTCAAGTGAAAGGAAGAGTCGCACATCTCTTACTTTAAATAAAAATCTAGAAATCCTTAAGCTAGTGAGGAAGGCATGTGGAAAGCTGAGACAGGCTGAAAGCTAGGCATCTTGCCCCGAACAACCAAGTTGTGAATGCAAAGGAAAAGTTCTTGAAGGAAATTAAAAACTGCTACTCCAGTGAACACATGCATGATAAGAAAGTGAAACAGCCTTATTGCTGATATGGAGAAAGTTTTAGTGGTCTGGATAGAAGATCAAACAAGCCACAACATTCTCTTAAGCCAAAGCCTAATCAAGAGCAAGGCCCAAACTCTCTTCAATTCTATGAAGGCTGAGAGAGGTGAGGAAGCTGCAGAAGAAAAGTTTGAAGCCAGCAGAGGTTGGTTCATGAGGTTTAAGGTAAGAAGCCATCTCCAAAACACAAAAGTGCAATGTGAAACAGCAAGTGCTGATGTAGAAGCTGCAGCAAGTTATAGAAGATCTAGCTAAGATAATTGATGAAGGTGGCTACACTAAACAACAGATTTTCAATGTAGATGAAACAGCCTTATATTGGAAGAAGATGCCACCTAGGACATTCACAGCTAGAGAGGAGAAGTCAATGCCTGGCTTCAGGGCTTCAAATGACAGGCTGACTCTCTTGTTAGGGGCTAATGCAACCAGTGTTTTTAAGTTGAAGTCAATGCTCATTTACCATTCTGAAAATCCTAGGGCCCTTAAGAATTATTCTAAATCTACTCTGCCTGTGCTCTATAAATGGAACAACAAAGCCTGGATGACTGCACATCTGTTTATAACATGGTTTACTGAATATTTTAAGCCCACTGTTGAGACCTCCTGCTCAGAAAAAAAGATTGCTTTCAAAATATTACCACTCATTGACAATGCACCTGGTCACCCAAGAGCTCTGATGGAGATGTACAGGGAGATTGATGTTGTTTTCATGCCTGCTGAAACAACATCCATTCTGCAGCCATGGATCCAGGAGTAATTTTGACTTTCAAGTCTTGTTTTTTTTTTTTTTTTTTTTTTT